GAACATATTGCTTTGAGCTATTCCTAGGTGAAGCACCGCATGGCAGTTCTTTTGTCATTCTTTGGTGGCCCTAAACTAAAAGAGTGCTTGTTCCAAGTAACCCATACAAGACTCTACACTAACCATGGCTGTGGAGAGAGGATACATTTTCATGTGACCAAACAAAGTGCACATCTGGTTGGCAGTAAGCAGTTCAAAACCCATATATTGTTAAACAAATTGTAATAATAGAAAACAAATTAGAACATTTTCAGGAGGTGTTGTTTTTTTTGGGGGGGGGGAAGCTTGAGTGCTACATGCTTCTTCAAAAGACTAGACTGTTGGAACTGCAGATCACTAGGATACATTGGTGAGAGTCTGCTAAGGATACTATGCAGCTTGTTATGAGAACTACTATGGATAAGACAGCACCAGACACTGATGAACTGTATACTGTTTGACAGCATAGAAATGCTTTAACTCATTATTATGTGCTAAAATACTGATGAATAACCATGAAACAAAAAGGGATACCAGGGCTGCCGTTTCTTTGAAAAACGTGGGCCTGATTCACCACTGTGTTACTCCAGTTTTACACTGATGTAAGTCCATTGATTTCAGTGCAAAACCAGAGTGAGGCAGTAATGAATCAGGCCCTATATATTAATAAAGCATTCGGTATGGTGCCTTGGAACTCGTATGGGACTATAATACCAATTTACAAAGGAGGTCAATATCCTCATCCCCATTTTACAATGGGGAACCCAAGGTACAGACAGATGAAAGCCCAAGGTCACAATGTGCATTTAAACCTCTGCTGGGCACAGCAGAAATAGGGTTGTCAGGGAACTGGTTAAAGCTCCCTGATTCTCTGCCAAGCCAGGTTTTCGGCCTGGGGGTTTCTCTAATCTTCACTAGCTGACTATGGTCCCCAAGGGACCTTCCAGGGACAACTGAGGATTGCTGGAGTTCATCATGCTATGGGTTCTGGGGACAGAGGCATAGGAGACACATTGGGGGACTCACACCCAGTTTCCACTCCCTTTGTGCCACCAAGAATCTGGCCCTATAATTTTTACTTCTGGTTTTAACAATGGAGTCGGTTCTGTCATTACTGGGATGCAGCTGGATATGCCCCTTTGCCTCATTGGTCTAAGGTAAATAAAATATCCAGTGTCCTAAAGAGGGTTATGTGGAAAATATGCTGATGTGTTTGCCCATAGGCTGGCTTTGGTAAAGATGAACTCATGCCATGCTAGAATGGTACCTCAGTCTTATATTGAAAAACATGAAGAGAATGTGGTTAACCAAGATGTCCTATAACCTGTTCAATTTTCAGAATGAGTAGCATCTATTGTGTGTCTTCAGAAACACGCTGGCACTGTCGGCACTTGCAGAGCTTATAAGGTAACAAGCCATGTGAACTAATATCCAGTTGCCCAAGTCCAGGATCTACTAGCACAGGTTTGCAAAACTAGATGTCCCTCAAGTTTACAAGCAGGAGGCGTTCCAACAGGTGTCACAAAAATACTTGTGCTTAAATACCCAGTTTCAGCATAATTGATTTCCCCATGGACAGACTAGCCCTCTGGATGTATATCAGCATATCTCAAATCAAATATTCCAGTGTTTTCGTGGTGTCGTCTGCCTTCTGGATGCTCTTATAGTTTTAAACAAGGAAACTAATTAGAGAAATCTGGACTGTTATACACAGATCAGTCCCCCTTGACAGGCTTTCCTCTTCTTAGTGAGCCTCTATTCCTAGCAGAACTGATTCCCTGTTGCATTGTCTCCTGTGCCATCATTTACACCTGTGCAGTGAATGTAAAATGCTACCATTCTGATTTGGGTGTGTTTCACATTTTCTTGACCCCTCTGTAAATGATTACACCAGGTGCAAAGCAGTGGAGAATTAGTCCCAACATCTCCTCATACCCATGGAAATGGGCTCACTGTGAAGTGGTTGTTTGGGGCACCATCCCTCCCCCACCCAAAAAATAAATAAATAAATTTGCTTTTGTCTGAATTCTTTGTGCCATTCATAACTGTTATTCAAGAAAGTTTGATTTACCTCTTCCTCCAGTGCCCCAGATTGCATAGCACATGTTTCAGTAAGAGGCTACAAAGCAGCAGCAGGATTAAAGGGAGAATGCCACTTCTGTGAACTATTTGGCAGTTATAGCAGAGGATCATGGGGCACTTTCTGAAGTGCCCTAATTAATGAGTGCGGGGGCTAGCTAAGGAGGGTGAGCATCTTCACTTAAAACGTGGGAACAGGGCAGAAATGAGCAAACAAGAAGAATGGAGACTGAATTCCTCTTACCCCATGAGAGGATAGAGTTGAGATCCAAGGGCAGTGGGAGTCTCTAAAGGGACAGCCCAAGACTGAATAAAAATGGAGGTTGGGTGGGGAGCCTAGCACTTACCAGATCTCTCCTCCTCTCATACAAAGATAGGAGGGTCTCATACCTAGAAGGTGGTGTGTTGAAAAAGTACCCACCCACATGGTGCCAAGGTACTCAGATACCATGGCAATGAGCAGAGTAAAAATGCCTAGTATGGACAGTTAGATAACTGTGGAATCAAGATAAACTGGCTAATCAGTGCTGGAGCTCTCAAATTGAAAACCGATGTTTGAAATGCCTGCAGTGACAAGTGGATGAAGCCAGTGTGTCCCATACTATGCAATGACCTCATCCCTAGCTACAGCTCTCTCTTTCAATATAGAGAGCAGGGGAGGGGAGGAGTGGGGAGAATCATTTCTCTTATTAACTTGGTGCTGCATCTTTTAGCACATTTTAATTTCTTCAGCAAATAAAAGAACCTTTGTCTTCTCACTCCAACCCCAACTAGCAGCCTCTGGTTATTCAATGCTTCTGTCTGCCTCGAACCTTTGGAACATGCCTGTCTTGGATTCCCTCCCAACTGAATCTGACAGGAACCATAAATATTCTCTGATCCCTTCTGCTTCACCTGTAATTCGCCTAGTGCTGGCAATGAGCTGAGCTGTCTGCCTTTGTCAGGATCAAAACAGGCATCTAAGCCATATGATGTCAGACTATATTACCCACCACAACCACCCTGCTTCTCCTATGAGCACTCAGCAGAGGACAGGGAAAGGTATGGCCTGCAAGTCTGTCCACACTGTCTTCGTTAGCCCATGACATCATCCTCGAGCCTTCTGAGCCTCTCCCTGCCCCCAAGCATACACAAATACTCCCTATTATGCGGGGTTATAGTTAAAGCTCAGGCAGTGACCCAAGCCCAGCATGAAACAAAGCTGCTAACTATATACAAGATTCAAGCGACCTCTGCATGGCAGTGCAGTCAAGCAACAATGGCTGCAGCAAGACAGACTGCAGTTTTATATCTTGGGATCAAGGAGGGTGACGGACTGCCTCTCCAGGGGCATTAGATTGTCAGATGTCTCTTCAGATTATAATCTCATTACAAATTCATTGTGATAACACAACCTTTATATATTGCTTTACATCTTCAAATTGCTCTGTAAACTAACTGATTCATATCAGTGATACTATAAGCAAAAGAGCAGGATGCCTGGGTGGTAAGTGAATGGGAGAGCTCCAGGGGAAATCCATCAGGGTGTGGTAGTAGGATTTAGCCCTTTTCCATCTTCTAAACTCTTCACAAACACAAATGAATGAATCCACTCAGCAGTCTTGGGAGGCAGGTAGGGACCATTAAACCCATTTTACTGATGAAGAACTGAGGCACAGACAGGTTAAGTGACTTGCTGAAAGTCAGGGGGAATCCATGTGAGATTGAAGATTACACCTAACGAGTTCCTGGCTCTCAATCCTCTCATCAGTCTATGCCTCTCTGCTGGTGCTGTCAAACAACTAGGATCACTTGTCTCTGGGTCAGTAGTCAGACAATGACTAAGCACTGTACTGAGACTCTGTGCTGCAGATAGTGAGGAAGAGGACTGGAAAACATTCACTTCCCATCTCAATTGTTGATTAGTGTTGCTGTGTGCTCATAAATATCTTTTGTATTTCATCCTAAAGGTAGATGCATTTTAATAGTGAGAAAATGACTTATAGTTTGCATGTAGTAGTGGCGTGTTATGACGGTTTTAGTAAGGCATGCAACAACTCACATGTTTAGGTGGTCCAAAATGGCATCCTCCATGTGGCATGACCTCATGTATCCGGTCACACCTGGGTTGAGATCACGCTGTGCAGAAGATGCCATTTTGTTCTACAAATGCAGTGTGATGTTACATCCTCACAAATGCCATCTTTCATGAGGAGTGGACAGTCATCCTGAGCACTGTCAGCTGGACAACATACAGCCACTCAAGCATGCAGACAAGGTAAGCCTTGTATACAGACAGCATGCCACTGGTGTGTAACTCCTTCCCTTTCTTGCCTAACCCCCCAATCGTTTTTTAAATTCTTATTTCCCTCTAGGAGCATTAATCTGTGTTTGTTTTCCCTTCTGTAAAATAGAGCTAATATTCATCCTCCCAGCCCACCTCATAAGGTTGTTGTGGTTAGTTAATATCTGTATAAACACGAGGCATCTCTATTAAACTGCTTTGTAGAACCTGGATAGAAAGCACCTACAAAACTGCCAAGTATTATTTATTATTATGAACGTCCAAACTGAGTGACCAATATGTATGATTAATGCCAGTGGTGTCCCAATACCACATTTATTCAGAGATGGCAACTGGTGGCCATGGGGCTGCATCTGACTGGCCAGGTCATTTTATTTGGCCCATCACAGCCCCACTCGGGGCAGGCGACCCAGTGGCACCAGGAAAGGCGCAGGGCACTGCGGGGGAACGCCTCACCTGGCACAGGAGCCACTACTGTGGGCTGAGCTTGCTCTCCAGCCCCCCCTCCGGGGCAGAACCTGACCCCAGCCTCCCGTGCCCCGACTCACCCCTGGGCTATGAGCCAGGCTACTGGCATCAGGGCCGAGGAGAAACCCAGTGAGGCGGGGCCAGCGCTTATATTGCCCCCCGCCGAAAACCCTGGGCCAGGGGACTGAGAGGCCCTGAGCAGAAGAGCCCTGTGCAGGCTCCAACGCAGGTCTGTTGAGCCAAGCTCCCCCGTCTCTCTAACGCGCGGCTGGGACCCAGGCGGCTCAGGCACGTGCAGCCCGCCGCAAGCCGCACGCGCAGGAACACGGCCCCGGCTCACCCCTAGCGAGACTACGCTGCGCAAGCAGCACCGGGGAGGGGGAGTGACGCACGCGACAGACGGTCACGCGCCGGGAGACCGAAGTAAGGTAACGGAAGCGAACTGCACACGCGCGCGCAGCGCGCGGGCCCTCACGCCACACCAAGGAAGCGCGCACAGCACGCGGTGTGATTCTCCGGCGGGCGCGCGCGCGCACACACACCTGCGCATGCGCGTCGCTCAACCTCACACTTTTCTCCCTCCCCCCCGCACAGTCGCACATGCGCAGTGGCGTGCGGTGATCTCGCTCCGCGTACGCTGCGTGCATTGGGCGGTCCGGCGGGTGATGACGCAGCACGTGGTGGCGGTTTGAAGTCCTGGCGCGGCAGAGCCCGCGCGGTACTCTGCAGTGATGTCGCTTGTGAGGCCCTTCGATAAACTCCCGACGCTCAACTCGGCCGCTATCTTGGTAGGTCTGTGAGGAACCCGTGTCCCATCCCCTTCCCGGGGCGTCCGGGACCGACCTCCCCGTTACCGCCGCATCCCTCCAGTTAACCGTAGGCTTCGGCCAATCGGCGCCTTCCGGCGCCTTTGGCCACGCCCTACGTCCTGATTGGTGCTCTGATTTTAGTATGCAAACAAGTCGCCCCTTCCTCCCCAGGGGCCTGTGTTGATAGGCGGGGAGGTTTGTTTGCCCCGCCCCTCGTGCCTTCCCCTCTGGCTAAGCAGGATCCTGTCTGGTCAGTACCTGCACAGCGGACCCGGTTGGAGCAGGGGCTGGTGGGGTGACTGGGCCATGCGTGCTCTGTGGATGGCTAACTGAGCCCCAGCCTGACCGTGGGGGATGTGGCACTACCGAGGACACCTCCTCTGCTGGGCTACAACACTGACACTCTGGTCGCCTCTGTTCTCCTTAACCTGTGCTAGGTGTTCCCCTAGTGCCAGGGGCTTGAGAGTCCTGCACAGCTGGACACATGTGCCTGGGGTCTGATGGGCGCAGGCCCAAAATGTAGGGCCAGGTGGCTGCAATCTCTCCCCACAGAGGTGCTGTTTTGTGTTAACCAGCTGCCCCATCCTGCCCCAGAGGTGGCTGCCTGTGTGTGAACCATCTTCCCCGAGCCTTGTAGTTCATAACGTGCCCTGGGACCGCTCAAGGTGAAGGGCACTAGCTAGTGACTCCCCCCTGCATCTTTTGGTTGCATCTCTTACAAGTCATTTTCCCTTCCTGAGCAGTTGGTGGGCACAGATGAAAGTCAGCAGCAGCAGCTAGCAGAGGCAATTCTTAAGGAGAAAAAAAACTTCAAGATAAATATGTAAGTGATGGAAAAGGGTGGAACAAAAATCTTCCCAATTCAATTCTGAAATTATTCTTTGCCAAGGTTTATTTGTGTCTTTTTTTTTTTCTCTCTTCTAGACTCAGTCTCAAGTTGAGATCTGGTCAGATAGGCTTGTGGAAGTAGTATTGGTTATGGCAGATTAAGTTAAAACTGAGGCACTGCAGGAAATGGATAGTGGCTCAGTAGGGCTGCATCTGTGCTTGTCAAATGCAGACCTGAAGCTCACTCACAGGTCCAATCTCCACGGTGGTAGCAATGGAATCAAGTGTAGTCCAAGGGCATTCACTTCAAGGATAGAATTTGCTCTGAACCCCCAGAGCACAATATTGCATCGATGTGGTTGTGCAACTGCAAGTTACAACTTCTCAGTAGGATTTAGGTGTATGTACAAGAGACAAGTTGCATTTTCTTCAGGAAATAGCAGCCCACACCTGATTAGAGGGGGAGAATACTTAGCCCTCTGTGGAATGGTCTACCCTGAAGCTGGGGACATGCCTCCTGGTGTGGGCAGACAGACTTGCACTATCTCTGCTCAAGCTAACACACTAAAAATAGCTGTCTGGCAACGGACACCTGGGTCTGAGCTTGGGTGCCTAACCCGAGCCACAACCTGTGCCGCGACAGCCCCGCTGCTATTTTTAGTGTGCTAGCACAAGTCTGTCTGCCCTCCCTGATACCAGCTGCAGTGTAGACATACCCCATATGTAGCCCAGGTGCTTGAAGATCAGTGCTGGGTGCAGTATAAGCATCTTAATAGATTTTTTTCGTCTGTGTGTGGGTCTTCCATCCAAAAAGGGAAACTCTCTGAAATCAACAGGGGGAATCAGGCAGGTGTAGTGCCTCACACTACTTTAAACTGATTAGATTTCAAGTTTCCTTGTAAAATGTCCACTAGCTACAATTCTTGTCCTACACGCACCCTTTTGTTATGTTATTCCTCCTCACGCTATTGATTTGCATTTGGAATTTTAACTCCAGCTTAAATGATAGCTTCTGTCTGGGAATTCCCTTTGTTGCTAATGTAATGACTTTGGCAATTATATCCACAAGAGGAAATGCATTAACTTGGATTTTTGGGAGAAGGGTATATTTCTCTCGCTGCTGCAGCACTAGTGATTCTAGAGCAGTATAATTGTCCACCAGAACTCCTGAGAAACTTCCAAAATCCATAACATTGTTTGGACCATTCAAGTCCATTGGCAAGTGTGTTGCCTGATCTATTGATTGTAGGTGAATTACATTACCGATTTAGTTTCCACAATTAGCACTCTGGAATTTGGTAGGTTCTTGTCCCAAGGTTAAGCCAAGTATTATCAGAATTACTGTTCAGCTGGGAGCTCCAATGTGCACAGACAGCAATGACAACACTCACACTTAGGAAAAACCTTCTGTATTTGTAATAATTTTATTAACACAATCAGCAAAATCACAAATGCTCCAACCAAGCAAGGTAGGTAGATATAATACAGAACGAGTGGAGCATCCCTATACTTATACCATCCCTTGCAGAACAACCTGAAGTGTTAGGTATCGTCTTTCCCCCTCACTGTCATCACCATCATCAATGGTCATCACCCTGGCATCTCCCCAGGCACACAGGCCAGGGTACAGCCAGGTTACATGGCATTCTTGTGGTCAGACATCTGCTGATGTCTCTATCTTAAAATATCTCAAGCTGATATAAACTAGCATCTTGTGGTTACCTGTCAGCAGTTTAGTCATTACCACATTCTGTCTTGTGATATCTTATGATCTATGGTTGGTCTTTGTTAGCTACTTATGCTTAAAGTTTTTTGGGCCTTATGCCCTAATTAGTTTAGCTAAGCTATTGGCCTACAAGCATCAAGACCTGTAAGACCACTGCATTACTGCCTTAACTTTATACCTTTGCCTCACTTAGCAAATACCTGTAAGATGTAAGTGTTACAAAGGTAAAAGATTTGCCAGATGTCATCAACTGTGCTGGGGACCTCCAAATCATTCGGATTGTAATTCAGCCATGGAGACCTTCCAAAATGTGCAGCTCCACTTCTTAAACATGATAAAAGGCACTAGATCTGTCCCTGAACTTTTCCATAAATGTCATCTGAAGTTTTTAAGCCAAATTATTTTTGACAAATGGTGTTACAAACAAAAGTATTTTCCAGAGATAGTTTTCACCCCTGACTTTTAAACTCTCATATCTCAGAAATGACTTCCAATTTTTTTTCAAAATCCGGCCAAAAAAGCTTCTCCCATAGCCACACATAAAACACACTCTGTTGGAAGCCGAAAAGATCACTTTTTGAGCATTGTAGGGGTGGTTATCATTAAATATACCATAGAGAGCTGGTTAGAAGTTTTAACTGAGAAGATGCTACACTCTCTCTGTGATACATAGATTAAAAAAATACTGTATCTCCTAACTTACAGAGCCTCAAGGTACTTTACAGTAGGGGTTCTCAAACTGGGGTTGGGACCTCTCACAGGGTCACAAGGTTCTTACATGGGGGGTTGTGAGCTGTCCGCCTCGACCCCAAACCCTGCTTTGCCTCCAGCATTTATAATGGTGTGAAATATATTAAAAAAGTGGTTTTAACTTATAAGGAGGGGTTGCACGCAGAGGCTTGCTATGTGAAAGGGATCACCAGTACAAAAGTTTGAGAACCACTGATTTACAGGATAGTCATGTGCTACTGAAGTAGACTCTGATGTAGAATGCAAAGCACTATTTACTGACATTATCCTACACACATGCAGTGTTGCCAAGTAAATACAGTGCTTCATTCAACTGTAGTTACATGAGAAATTTTAGGCCTCTAAAATGTAATTATTGTAATGGAAAGACAAACTGTATTATGCTGTTCTATTAGGTGTGCTATGAGTAAAATATCTTATTTAAACGAACCAAAGCCATAACTGGCAGAGCATTAAAGGATCCTATGATGAACACATTTGGTGTATAGTTTGCTCAGAAGTAAACTCTGTGGCCAGTCCATATCTGGTACAAGACCATGACAGCTACTTGATTTTAAAGTTGATCAAGGAGACCAGGGCTAACACCCTCCTTCTGACAACTAAAAAAGGAAAACAAAAAACAACCCTGCTGTCACTAATGACTCTGGTCTACATCTCATCTGAAAGACCTCTAACAGCACACAGTTCCTGATACCTTGCTAGGGCTTTTATAGGGAAGAGTACAGTACGAATCCTTGGAGAACGCTATTGTCATACGGGATGGCCTCATTAAGCAGCTTGGAGGGAACAAAGTTTATGCTACCAAATGTCAATTGTGGCTGTTAATGACTATGAATAGGCTTATGGGGGACACCAGGCGTGCCATTTAACCAAGCAATGAGTCTCATCAACTGCTTATAGCCATTGAAATGCATGGCACTAAATCTGCTCTTGCTAACCATTCTAGCTAAGTAAGCGGCTGGCGAAATGGATTCTGCTTTGCCCATCTATTCAGTTTGGGTAAACCTGCAAACTTATTTTGTCTTTCAGCCACGTGGCGACCTCCCTCCCTTTACCTGCTGAGAGAGATCATATCCGGCCCCGGATTGATCTGATTGCCTTTATGATTAACATGCAAAGCAAACACAGGTAAATGCAGAAGGGGTTGGAACAGCGGAGGGAGAACTTGAGGAAGGAGTTAGTTGTCAGTTTAACCTGGGGTAAACTGATCCAGCAGCTGCATCATTGTGATGGTTAGAAGCGCATAGAGCCATTGGCTTTCAAACACTGGACTTGCTGTAGTAGAACAGATCAATAATTCCTCCAGCAGTTATCCTGCCTATGGCAATGAATGAATAATGTGAGACCTGCTTTCCTTTAACACACCTAATTGTGCAGTGCTCTGCCATACCAAGGAGGGTGGAATTTCTTTCTGATCACGCTAGTAATCTGCTTATGTAGAGTCAGGTGCATGAAATCTGAAAATTTACCATCTGTAAAATGGAAACAACATACAAGTTGGTGGTGGGTGTTACAGTGTTCTGATAGCTGGCCTACCTAGGCAGTCTTAATTAACAGTCAGATCTGAGTCAATGGTGTGTGCAGGTACTCTTTATGATGGAATTGCTAAACCAGGTCCCTCTGGGATTGGAGCTCCATCAGTCAGCAGGACTAATATGATCTTTGATCTTTGTCTATCTTATCCCTTACCTCTCTCAGCTGTACCATTGCACCTCAGTGTTGATACAAAGAGAAATCCAATCCTGTTTGTATTTTTATAATGAGGATAAAACCTCATTGCTGGGAAAGGTAAGAGTGTTGCCAAAGCTGCTTCATTTGTGACCTTTGATTCTGGACTCGAACAGATCTTCAAAAGTAACAGGTCACACTGGACAGCTATCCAGATGAAAGTCATTATAAAATACAAGGACTGGGATTTTCAAAGAAGACTAAAGGAGTTAGGTGCCCAGTGGGATTTGGATGCTTAACTTCCTTGGGCTCCTTAAAGATCTCCACCAAGATATTCATTCATTTGAACAGTATCCTCTTAGGGCTTGTCTATACTTACCGCGCTGGTTCGGCGGCAGGCAATCGAACTCAGAAGTGCTCCCCGTCGACTCCGGTAATCCTGCTCGCCGCGAGGAGTACGCGGAGTCGACGGGGGAGCCTGCCTGCCGGGTGTGGACCGCGGTAAGTTCGAAGTAAGGTACGTCGACTTCAGCTACGTTATTCACGTAGCTGAAGTTGCGTACCTTACTTCGATTTGGGGGTTTAGTGTAGACCAAGCCTTACTCTTGAGTTTTGTTCTCCTTTCTGTCTATTTCATGGCTTCTCTAGCACCCATCATTAGTATCTAAGCACAAAGAGGAGAGACTTTGAAAGGCATAAATGGCAGCTACACCCAAGTCCTTCTGACTTTCAGTAGGAGGTGGATGTCCATCTGCTATTCGTGCCTTTGAAAGTCTCTCCTTTCGTGCTGCTCTGGCTTCCTGGTGTGCTGGTGACGGTACTAGCACTAGCCTAACCTCTGGTTTAACTGGATTATATGATGTGTTTTTTTCTTTCCTTTTCCATCAGTCTTAGGAATGTTGAAGCTTCACTATCACACATGGATGCCAACTTCTTCCTTGGGAAAGTGTGCTTCCTCATCACAGGTGGTATGTATGCTGAGTATCCACCTTTTTCTTTCTCCTCCTCCTTCCAGTGTTTCGTCACTTCTTCTACTCCTTAAAACACCTGGAATGGCTTCACCTTAAACAAAACAAGCCAACAGCTTGTCACAGAAGCTTTTCTTTAAATGTTGCTGAATCTCCTCTCTTCTCCCCAGCTCAGAACATGTTTCTCACCTCACTTGGTCCTTCCCTTCATTTCCTCCAATCAGGTGTCTCTTCTGCCCTTGCCCCCATGGATACGAATTGCAAGATTGATTTGTATAGAACTGCAGTGTGTCTTCCCATGGACTTTTCTCAATGCCATTCTGTTTGACCTGCTCATTACTGCCTGAATGAGCTTTGCTATTATGAGGACTATGCTGTATGCTAGATTTGGATCATTTGTGGAGCTAAACATTCCTCAGTTCTCTTCTCCACTGAGGATGGGCTGTGAAATATTGCAAAATTCTCCCTAATGCCTTCCTGTTTTCTCTCTGAAGTTGGTAGGATGAATCACTGCAGCGTAGAGATGAATGCTGTCCGGAAACTGGGAAACCTCTACTGCAGCCCTGTCCTATTCTGTGAGCTGGATGTAAGGATGCTTAATTTTTGGGAGGGGTTAATCAACTGTTGCTGATTGAAGGGCTGGGAGAAGAGAGCTTGCATAATGGAAATGGCTTGCTGCTCCCTTGCACATAGTTGGTCATCCTGAATCTAGTGAATACCTCCCCTACCTTCCCTCATCAACCCTGTGGCTCTGCTGCCCCTTTTCACTCCTCCTTCCCCCTCCCCAATCTCATACCAGTGGGTTTGGGTCCACAGTACTTCTTCAAAGGGGCTTTCAATCTTTGTGACTCTGCCCCCTCCTTCCCACTGGTCCTAGACAAGTAGGTGAGCAGGTTTGGGAACCTCTATGTCTAGTTGATCTGGGTCCCACTTAACTTTGGTTCCTGCCTGCGCCTCAGCACCAACTAGATTTTCATTTCCCTCCCTTTATTTTTAAATAACTTGTGGGTTTTGGGTTTTTTTTTTCTCCCTCTGCTTCCAGTCTGAAGGAATCAGAGTTGCCACAGCTCAGCGGCTGCTCCGGA